CCCCTGGCATTGTTGTTTTTCCCTTGTTGACCCTCTGTCTGCCACTCTCTGCCACTTCTGTCTCTCTCTCTTTATGTGCCACAGGGTGCCAGCACCCTGTTGTTATCTATGGCGTCTCGTGGCCCAACAACTTTTCGTGGCCAGAACGGTAATTAAAGAGCTCGCTGCGGTTTATAAATTGCTGGAAATTAAAACGACAATATAAAGCTGTCAGCGACACTTTTGAGTTGGGTCAATTTTCTGTGTCGTTTGGGGGCAGAGATAAGCTCCACGATTATGCGACTAAGCAACAGTTTATAAAGAAAACGAAAGAATGAGGGAATGCCATGAAAGACTAAAGGATTAAGGTTGCCTCCAAAAGATGGAGCAATGTAAATGAAATTAAAACAGAGAGCAATCTTATTTTTTTTTTAGATAAATCTGAATGAAAAACGTGTCGAGGTGGTTGAAATCGTAGGGAAAAGTCTTTGATGGTTACTATGGCACTCTGGGAAAGAGAAAGCAGGAAGAACTGAGCGGTCAACAGCAGTGTTAGCCATTAGAAAAATATTCAATTTAAGATTACTTTCTCCATTTCATTCCTGAGCATTGAGTTGAGAAATATAATTCCCTTGGAAAATTCAGTTTTATGGCAAAATAGCCAAGGTGATTGCACCTGCAATTTCTCTAGGAGGCAAACACAGAAAAGTCTGCAGAGAAAGAGGGTTAGAGGGAGACTCCGGAACACACAATGAGGATTGCTCAAGTGAAATGTGCTAAAGCTTCATCTTCCTCAAGGGGAGTACTCCCCCTACTGCAAGTAGATATACCTCTTCATGCGCTAAATCCCTTACTTGATACGGATACGAATGCCAGCACTAAATAATTGTATTTTCAATGGTCCAGCAGCTATCCTTGGCTTCTCGTACTACTCGTCTCTAAGTACCACAGGCAACTGGTAGACAATTTCGAATGGTCATAAATCTCGATGGCTACCAGGGTGAATGTGTGTCAGCTTAGCGTTCGTTTAAAAGTACAGACAGACATGCCAAAATGGCCAATTTCATGGCTAGTGTAAATCAAAAACACCTGCAATTAGGGGCACCATCCATCCACACCCGCACACACACTTAGGGGCAGTTTCAGGATAACCCCCATAAGCGGACAAAGCTATTTAGACGAGGGGCTGGCACACAAAAACAATTTTAGAGCAATTGCCTGCCATGCAACTCATTAGCATGCGCCACAAGGCTTGGAGACTAGAGCCTGGGAGCCTCTATTGTGGACCAGGGTTCCTGCACTGCAAGACATCTTCTACTACAAGAGAAATATTTGTATGGTGAAGAAAAAATTGAAATCAAACCAAATGGGCGAGAAAATTAAAATATATCATTTTTTTGTCTTCAGGATAAGTACTTGGCAGGAAGAAAACTGAAAGAAATGCTTCAAAGATTTAAGTTAATTGATTTTTAATTATTTCTCTAAATTTGAAACAAATTTTTTTGGTAAATATTTTGTCGTGTTCTCATTTAAATTTGTTTAGAGCATGTTTACAAAATACAGTAATCTTCAGTGGACACAGTACTTATTTTTTCCACCTTATCTGTCTAGATATCTTTCAGTGTAATCTTAAGCCATTGTCTGGCCCGTTTTTGGTTGTTGCTGTTGTTGGGGAAATTTTAGATGTTAGAAAAGCTAATTTCTGTGGGGCGCACATGTGCGACGAGGTCCGGCAAACACCCCCAAAGGGGACCAACGGCAAGGAGAGAGAGTCCAAGCAGAGTCGATAGAGGCAACCCCTCCAACAAAGGAGAAGGTGGTGCAGCAGCAGGAGGCAAGCAGGAGGCAAACAAGGACACCACCCTGTTGTATCTGTAACTGTATCTAGGCTGCCATTAAATGCAGCCCATAGAAAACACGCTTCGAGCATGCTAAAAGGGGTCGGATAACAGGTCTCTCTTCTACACCTTTTGCTGCTGCTGCACCGATACTACGGCTGCTGCTGCTTCTGGCATGCCATAAAGCACACAATTTTTGAAAGTGCCCCCGCAATGCCTAAAAGTTACAAATGTTTGGCCTTAAAAACTTGCACTGCCGCCCAGATAAAATGGCAAAAAGAGTGCACACTGGAGGGTCCTCTCCCAGGAACCTCTTTGCTGAACGCCGAAGGTGCTGGTGCCAGTGGTGGTGCCGGTGCCGGTGCCTTTCCCTGATGCCTGCCTCTTGTCAGTCAAAATGAAATTTGAAGCAAAGTTGCGGAAGCAATTGCCTACGCTTTAAGGCGTTTCAAAGGCCAAAGGAATTATGAGTGAAATTACGGCTGAAAGATGAGCAAATGAAATTAGCTTGTGATTTCTTGAGTGAAAGTCCTCCAAGATGTGCTTCAATGGGGTATAATTTGACAGAGAGTAAGAGGCCTCCTCCTTCAAACTTTGCTTAGAAAAGGCAACATTAGTAAAATCTTTAAAGGAGGCTCATTATTAGAGGATTATGAATACAGGCGCCAGTATTTCAAAACATAATTTAATGCATTGCTTTGTGCTAAAACACACTTGAAAGTCCTGAGGGCAAATGCATTAATAACCGTCATAGCAAACAGACAGGTGTATTGAAGAACTATCACTGGCCGGTTTCATTGAGTTTCTGAGCAACACATCCATGCAACATCTGTTCTTCTGTTGGTGGCTCTGAAAAAAACGTGCATCCATGCAAGACTCAATATTTGACTCAAATTGGAGGACAATAGATGTATTGTCCTGAAATTTCTATTCATCTAGCGTATATCCTTAGGCAGAAGATACTTTCAGTGTTGGAATGATGCATGAAACCAGATTAAATCTGTTTTTCAGTTTCCCCAAAACCTTAATTCCTTTCATGTGGAAATGTTTCCCTTCAAGTTGCAATCTGGGAATTCATTCCTGGAATGTTTGCACTAGTTCATTTCACATTGTCCCTACTTTTACCCTCTGAAGAGGGGGAGAGTCTCCTCTGAGGGACAAATGAAACGAAACAAAAAGCAATGCCATTGCTCGTCAATGTGTCCGTGATGTCTGTCCGTCCGTCAATTCTGTTCTGTTCTGTCCGCTGTTTCGGGCTGCCATTTAATTCAATGACGGACACAACAAAGCATTTGCCACTGGGATGCAGTTAACAGAGAGAGAAGTGCTACAAATATGTGCTGCTGCTGCTGGTGCTTCTGCTGCTCCAAGCAAAGCCTGCCGCCTGCCACATGCTGCCGACACCACCATCCTTACAACGTCATACAAAACAATTTCCCCTGGAGAGTTTTTCCCTGTTTTTCCACCAGTTATTTCGTATGTGAAAAAGCGCATCTGTTGTTGATTGTGTGAACTTCCTTTCAATCGTTTGTTTGTCCTTCGTTTTTCCCCTCTTTCCAAACCCCTTCCTTGTTTTTGTTGTATTGTTTGTTTGTTACTGGTGTTGTTGCATGTTATTGTTGCTTTTGTAGTGCTTTTGTTGTTTGTTGTTTGCGTGGTGTTATTGCAGTTATCCGCCGCTTCAGGCGGCGTGCCAGTGCCCCGAAGCTTAGATACGTTTTTTCGGTTGCAAGTATCTCTCACCGTCTCAAAATGTTGGATACTGAAAGTTTTCCATGCCGTTGGTGTCAGAAAAAGCAATACAAATATACAGGAGAATATAAATGAAAATGTAAAGGAAAAACACAACGATCAGGATCAGAAAGTGTATGGAAAAAGGTCGAACTTAAGATACATATATCCAATCAGTATAACGTAAGATTTTTTAAGCAAAACTAAAGAGTATGTAGTCGTTCCTCGTTTTTTTTTCTGTACTGTATTCTCTTTGTCAAAAAAATTGGAATTAAAAGGTTATACACAAGTCCTTGCCCCTTTTTATTTTATTATTGATTTTCGGGTATATTTTCCTACACAATTGCAATTTTTCTATATTTTAATATGGCAAACCTAAATTCTAAAATGTATGTCCAGCTCGGAATCTGGCTATAAGAAGCATATAGAAAATTCGTTTCTGTGCTTCTGTTCGTTTCTTCTAACTTGTGCTCTTCTTGTCCATTTGCCATATTCCCACATGTGTGTTACTGAATGGCTCGGACATTCCGTTTATAATCCTAGCGCGCTTCTGCATCTTTTCGGAAAACAATTGCATCTTTTGTGCAAAATAAGTTTTATAGAATGACACGCAAAAAGAAATACGAAACCCCATTGCTGGACATTCTCCTCAAGAGCTGAAAGCGTGTGGGGGGAGCAGTGCATAAGGAGTTTCCTTTTCCTCCTCGTGTCCAGTGGAGAGTGTCCTGTGTTCATTGTGCAATTTATTTATTGCACACAAAACTTTCCCTGAAGAGGCTGACACAAGGACAAGAACTTCTGTTGAAAATGAGATAGTAGCACTCGGCAGTCCATTGTTTTCAAACGAAATGAAGGGAGTAATGTCCGTATGCCCCAAGAGACTGTCCAGGCAGTAATAAGTAGCCAACTCATGAGAGACCTACTCTTCCACTCTCCCACTCTCTTCATCTTCGTATCATTTATAACAATTTAGAGTCCTTTTTCACAGCCCCCTGAGATCGCAATAAAACAGAATCGGATATCTTTTAAGAAGTTCCCGGTATAAATAACAATTTAACGTAAATATTTAGGCAAAAACTCCTTTTCATTGACGTCAATGCCAGTGCCTCCTGCGAGTGTACGTATTTGACGTGGCAGGCGTCGCTAATCCGCGGCACTTAGCAAACAAATTGCCCCACATAAACAATTCTAATTGAGATGAACGATATGGCTATGGCCCCCATGTACGAACATTCGTAAATACATACATATATATGCAAAGCAGTAGCACGCCACATGACACTCCACACACACACACACACACACACCGTGGAACTATGTTAAATGCAACTAAGTTATAAATGTGAGAGGAGAAATAGGTCTGGCCTGCTGCCTGGAGGCCATTCAGCAATGGCTGCCTTGGCTATGGAAATGGCTTTGGTTTGGCAAGGGATATACATAAATTTCACTTACTTCTTTAGCGTGGCAGCCAATGCCAAATCGGGGCGTACATCAAAGCGACTCTGCATATAGAAGCGTAATAAATTATCGCGTTCATTTTCACGTAATCCTTCCTCGAGTGCTAATGCGGCCAGTGTGTGATAGGATTCTGACTCCGTGATGCCGAATAATAAATCATAACTAGAATGAAAGAGAGAGCAGTAAGAGAGCAGAGGCTTAGTAGGAGAGAAAGAGAGAGTTAGTGTTACAGAGAGGCAGAGGTTTAGTACGAGCCACAGCCAGAAATACCAGGATGGTCAACATGTCTGATATTTTAGATTCCCTTTTTGCACTGTCAGAAAGTCCCATCAATCCCCCCACCTTAATCCTTGCCATATCTATACGCTAAATTTCTGCCAGTGCACACTCTGCATCGCCATCGAAAGAACAACCCAATGAATGCCCATAAAACGCACAGAGTTAAAAGCACTACAAATAAAACGAGTGCTGCTGCTGCCTCTTCCTGTGGCGCGTAACTTGTTACGCTGCTGCTGCCTGCCGCCTGATAAATGGCTCTACAACTATGAAAAGTGCTGCCTCTTCCCGAGAGTCCTGCTCTAACCATTGTTGTCCTGTTGCTTCACACTAGATATCAGCGACGAAGAGAGAGACAGAGAGCCTGGGAGCCTGAGAGGCAGCTCAGAGGCGCATTAAAACTTATATTCTAGAAGCAAAACTTTCCTTCCGTCGATAAAAGTAAATGCAAAACTTGTTAAATTGAAAAGAAATGCCACAGAGAGCGGAGTGGAGAATAGTGGAGTGCTCTCCCATTCATTACTATAAGAGCTTTAATCCTCAGGTCATCCGCTGATTAAAGTGATTAACGAAAGCAGCAACAACAACAAAACCGAATATTCAATCTTGTGAAACGTGCTTTCATTTCACTTTGCCCGTAAACCTGTACTGTGTAGACCCGTTCACCCCTTAACCTCTCAGGATGTATCCTTCCGTTTGGCTGTCTGTTGCCCGTAATTAATGGCTCTCTTCCTGTGGCAGCTATTATTCTATTCTCGAACGAAACACGTTTGACTCTTTCGCGCCAAAAAGGATAACAATTAAAATCAAATTAATCACGCATTTTATTAGATTATCCCTTGGGGTTTATGTCTGCTCTGCGCAGCACGTGCCTCTTCCTGATAATGCCTGTCTCCTCCAATGGCGGGCAGTCGCGAGTGCTTTTCCCCAAAACAGAAGTTGATTGATGGATGGCCCATAATTTATGTGGCAGAGCCGGTGCGGAGCCTCTCTTCTTTTTGATCGATATGTACCCTAAATTACTTGTTTTTACCTCTGATGCGGTATGTTGTTATATCCTTATTGATTTTGTGGCGTTCAACGCTCAATTGCAGGACCTTTTTGAGCAGCGAAGGACCCATTGAGTGCCCCAAAAGTGACATTCGAAATGTAATTTGCTTGATGATATCCCAAGACGCCAACGCAGAAATAACGGTGTTAAATGGTCTTGCGTCTCACGGGCTCCTTACACACGATTTCACTTTCACCTGAGGGCAGAATAAAGCCTTTTCCCCAGACGAAAGCAAGAAAGAACGAAATACCAGACGTCTAATCAAGTAACGCACAATAAATACTCTGGCGAAAAGAGGAAGGGAGAGACTGAAGGCCAAAGGGAAAAGAAAGCAAAGGAATATTTGACAGCTCCCCAAAGCATCAAAACGCTAAGGAATTGTGGCACTGCGGCATAGGGGTTTCGGGTGGTCAGAGGTTAGTGTTAGCTATGGGGGGGGGGGTTTGCTTAACAAACCGGCTGAAATGCTCCGTATAATGCCCCATGACCTTGTACGGTTGATTTGGTATTACATGTCCATCGACAATTGGACCCAATGATGTTGAAAATTGTTGAAGCGATGTTGGTATGTGCAAGATATCCTGGTACCTAGAAAGAGAGAAAAACGAATAGAGTATGAGAGAATGAGTCAAGAAAATGAGTTAAGAAAAAAGGTTCAAAATACAATATGGAAGAGTTTTCCAGGGAATGGTTCTTGTGGCGCCTCATGGCGTTCATCATGACAGCGGTCCGGTCCCACTTTTCACTTTGATTTGAGAAAATTTCTAATAAATTTTATGTGTGATTTCTTGGCTGGACATTGCACAGTGTCCACACTGGCTGTCACGTACACATATTTGCCACACACGTGTGGCCCATAAAGATACTCACATATGGTCTAAAGGGACACAAAAAATTAACAGAATTTCATGGAGTAGAGATGCTTTTTATTAGGGGAAAAATATTGAGATACAAGTCTAGATGAAAGGGAATAAAGTATATATTTTGGTATTTCTTTAAGATCACAATTCATAAAGGAAATGGATTTCCATTGGAAAAAACTTAAATCCATTAGCTTGATAAAAATTAAATAAAATCCATAATTTCTGCCATTAAATTGTCAGTAAAAAAGCTATAATCGTTGAAAATACCTTCCAATATTCACCTCAATATGGGTCCAATAGGTTCAATTCCATACACATCATTTTCCTCCTTATCGGCAGGCAGTTGCATTTCTGTACATCCTGTAGTTATGACGTTTTTCTTTTGTTGATTTTAAAACCCATAATAGAGCCGCAATGCAAACCAATTCACACGCACACAGATTTACACAAACACAAATACCAGAAGGAACGAGGGAAACCTTACCCCATTTTGCGATACAAACAAGTACTACATACATGAAATACAATCAGCAGACTTACACATATAAAACTTTTGCTTCTGTTGGATGTTGCCTGTGGAAAGCATTTCAATTCGATGGGAAATATTTGAGTTCTCGCTTTTCTCTCTCTCTTTTGCATACTTTGGGGCGGTGGCGCTATGGCCTTTATATTGATACAAAATTGCTGTGCGGCAGTGGAAGTGGCATTGGCATGGAAATGCTTCTGTTGGGTGCAATTTCTGTCGCATAGTTTGCATAAAAGTCCACAAGGCACAAGGCACCAGCAACAGAAGTACCCACCAAAAATTGGAACAAATTAAGAGAGGAAAAGGAGCAAAAGTCTAGAAACTATTGGACAATTTTTATCATTGAAATGCAGGCAAAACCTGAATATAGGAAGAGCAGTCGCATGTTGGAGTTCAGGCGGCGGATGAAGTGGGAAAAGGTTCATAAAACATTCCTTTTCGGGATGTTTGGGTGTAAACTTCCATCTTTTCCCGTCTTTGGCATTGTCATAATAGATTTGTTAAGGGTTTTCCCCTCCATTAAACGAGAGTATAGCTTGGGTATTAATAAAAATCCTTTCATTACGCTTTAAATGGATATTCAGATGATGTCAAAGCAGCGCTTTGTCTCAGAGTCTCTGCTGGAAATTCAATTGAAAGAGATAGATAGTGAAAGAGAAATTCCAAGGATGCCATTCAGAGAAGCCATTCGAGTACTAAGCCATGGAAAAATCCCTAAAATTCAATGAGTGTCTGTCGTATGTGTCTGTGTGTGTTAATTCACTCAACACCTACAGAAAATCCCCCATTTCAAGATGATATTATCTGTAATCCATTTTAGGATGCAGCATTCCAATCGATGGCTGCAAGACCATTGCACTGTCTCCCATGGCTTTTAGTGTGTGGTCAAATGATGGGGAAAGTTTGTAGCAGACTTGACGTCAGCTTCTCGTTTCTGATTTTTGCTTGAGACTTCGGGAAGAATTAAACTTGCTGGGGGAAAAGTCGTATGTTTTCGTGCTTCATTTTCACTTGTGATTTATGATGGTATTTCTGAAATAAGAAAAAGCTTTATTCCACTGTTGCTCTTCTTGTTTCTTGCTTCTTATTGGCTGCAGCACAAAACTGTCACAAGTTGAGCTGCAAACTGCGATTAACTCGTTTAGATATACAATATGTTGCAATATATTCTCTTCCTCTCTTTTTATCTGCTCAGAGTGTGTACTGTGTTGCCGCAGCAAGCAGAATGCCAATCCCTGCCCCCTCTTCTATACATTGCACATACAATTTGTCAGTGTGTGTGCTTGTGGCAGAAGAACGAAGATTGATGGTATTCCTTATGGGTTGCATGTTGCAAGGAGCTACTTGAACTACTGCTCCAGAGAGAGTTTACTGCCCCAGAGAAATCCTCTGTCATTTATCCTGCAACAGTTTTAGCCTGGTCTCTGCCTCTATCGGGGTCTATAGTCTCTACAGCTGTCTCCAGTTTCGGTTTTTGGCTCTAAAGCTGTCTGTATATATTTCTTCGTCTGCTATTCTTCTGTTGTCTTACTGCTTTCTATTTAATGAATTTTTAATATGCTTTAGACCTTTCTTTTTATTTCTGTCAATTAGGAGCGCAAAAGGAAAACAGCTGCTTTCTGTGTGTGGCAGCTCCTGGGGCTATGTGGAAGGCCCACCGTGGCGTATGCTTGATATTTACATTATTCTAAATTATTCTATGGGGACATTTTTCTCTGTCTCTCTCTCTCTCGCTCCGTCTCTTTTCCTCTAGGAAAGAGTTTGGTAGGATTAAATGCGCACAAAACGAATGAAAACGAGAAGGGACGTGTGAGACGCTTCTTACGCGTCACTACTTATATACCCGGCACTCAGTATTACATCTGCACCTTAGCGGCAGAGGAAGAAGCAGAGACGTGTCTGCGCGAAGCAGAGTGTGAATGAGAGAATGTGCAAAAAACAAATATAACCTGCAAGACGGGGTGGGTTTAGACACTGAAAGTTTCTTCATTCTGGCTATAATAATAATCGCATACAAATTTGGTGATCTGATAGATATGGTCATTCCCTACGGAATGGAGTTTAGTTTTCTTTTATCTTTAAAATTGTAGGTTTGGGATGTGGCTCTAGCTTTCATAGTCTCTGAGACCCAGGCCCTCATAAGGACAGACGGACGGACGGACGGACGGACAGACAGACATGGCTCAATCGACTCGGCTATTGATGCTGATCAAGAATATATATACTTTATGGGGTCGGAAACGTTTCCTTCTGTGCATTACATACAACCGTTATTTCCCACAATACAATATACCCTATTTACTCTTCGAGTACCGGGTATAATGAAACATTTGTAAGCTCTCTTCGGTGCTCCATGTTCCCAGAGTTTTTCCCATTTCTAGTTACATTTTAAAAGCAGCTTAGCGACAATCGTATATTTGTGTATAACAATTGGATTTTAATGCGGTTGCACAAAAATTATGCTTTTTAATCAGCTTAAATAAATATTTCTACACAATGGAAAACAATCAACGAAAACAAAGGAATGTATACGAAAATAGAGAGGGGAAAATGCTCACTTTACAGGTAGGCAAAATGAACAATCAAGTGCAATCAAGCAAATATATGCAGAGATCAAAAGTCCTGTTTGCAGGACAAACACATTAGGGGCAATGGTTAAATAATTTGAATAAATTAAGAAAAAAGAGCAGATCGGAATGCAAAAAGGGCAAAGGGCAAAGCGAAATCAATACGAATCTAAAGACTTAACTTCTATTAATTATTTAAATTCTTCTCGAAGACAAAGCCTAAAGTACATCGGAGAGAAAGGAGAAAGGGAGAGGGAGTGTCTTAGGGTAGGAATTGTGTGGTTCAGGCAAACAAATGCTACTGTGGCTATGCCTTTACTAAGTCGTTGTTTGCTCAAGTAGTTCTGTTACCTGTTTGCGTTTCTTTGGGAGAATGTGTGTCTATGTGTGTGGCTGTGCTGTGGTGTGGTGGTGCCTTTGTAGGCAAAAGCGATGAGCACATTTGCTCAGTAATTCATACATAATTCATTGCATTCATTTAACACTCGCAGTTTCTCCTACGAACACTCATACTCGCACAGCAGTGACCCCTTACCAACACAAGCACTCAGTCACTCTTCCACTCCCTCATACACTCGTTCCTTACTTCATTACCTTACTCTTTCACTCTTTGCTTCATTCATTCCCTTACTCTTTCACTCCTTACTTGAATCCTGTGCTTACTCCTTCCCCTGTTCACACATTTAACCATTTATTCCCCCACCCATAACCGTCATTCCTTCACTCGTTCCCTGCGTTCCATTACTTCAGTAAGCTGCCACACGAGGCTGCAATTCCCAGGCCCAAAACCAAAGCTTTAGCTCCTTCATTAAAACATTCCGTAAATGCACTTCTAAGCGAAAGCGTTGTCACACTTTCTAGATAGGTTTGCTCGCTTGGAAAGGCTTATAATTATGCAGGTAGTTTCCAAATTGTGCTGTTTTAATAATAGTTTTTTTCTGTATCATTATGTTTCTAAAACATCTTCAGGGTCCTATAGTTTTTCCAATGTATATACTGCTGGTAATTCAAGGCTATACATTGAAAGTCTCTTCAACAACGATCTGTACTCTACTTATGTAAATAGGTCTATAGGTGTCTTAGATCTCTAAAACATATACTTTTCTGTTTATCAGTTTAACTTAAAAAAATTCCTTAAACTTCAGCAGACATTTATCTTAGAGTTGTCGTTTAGAAACGTTAAGGTGATTGACAAGTTAAATGTTAGCGGAAAATACTCGGAATAGGGATGGAAAATGTGTAAACGAGACTGAAGGTGAACTTTGAGTGACGTATAAAAATGACAAGGAGGTTTAGGTCGTTTAGGTTTCAATTATGCGAAGATTTCTCTTTCAGTTTGGTCCGTTTAGAGTAGATTTCGCTTCCCTTTGCTCTAATTACCATTTTCCTCATTACTTTGACGTCATTTCCTGCTCTGCAATTTCAGGTTTTCTGGCGGATCTTCAAGTTGCTACTGTGCCAATTTGTGCGCAGTAAGAAACCAGAGGAAAGCAAGTACGGAAACTTTCTCAAGTACCCAAAGACACATACACATGTTGCATCATCATGAGACAGTATCTGTGAATGTGTTTGCTCTGTATGTGTATGATTATGTGCATGCCTAGCATAATTAACATAATTACTATTATTGTGCCGTTTGTTGATTTAGTTTTACATATATTTTTAGTGTTCATGCGCTTTTATTTAAATTTGAATGCAAATTGTTTTTTAGTTTTCTTCTCTTTTGTGCGCCTCCTCTGCACCAATGTGCCCACCATCTTACAAATTAATTTTTCACCCCTCAGACGTTCCCCTACGAGTGCACTCATACCGTACACATGCACACGACATGTTCTCACACATAGAAAACTATCCATTAAATGCACCTCGACACTAAGATACCCTTTATGCTGTGGCGTGGCATAAATTCGTACTGCCATCTAGTAATAGCCAGGAGAAATTGCTGAACCAGATTATAAATACAAATAAATACTGTTACACACATCCACACAAATCTGTATATACTCTTTGAGTCCTGGGTATTTACAAAAAAAGTATTCTTTTACAGCATTAAAGTTTCTCGTTTTTCAGTGGTAATTTTTTTGTGTTGATGTAGCTTTAATCTGTGTTTGTAGTCCACACCTTCTGTGGACCCACTGATTGGATAGCCGCAGAAATAACTGCAATGAATATGCCATTTAAATAATTGCCGTGACGATGTATAAACAAATGTACATGTGTACATCCATGTAAAAAAGGGGGAAAATCTGGCACTAGAATAGTGTTATAAATTATTGGATTTAGTTTGTAGCAAATGGAAGGGAGCAGCCTCCTATAATATTTGCTTTTCCCGAGAGCCCTTCAAAGATATGTAAATATTTAGATTCACATTCATTAATCAAAATCTCTTTAAAACTATAAAGAAATATGTTTTTTAATGTAATCTGCTTCTTCCATTATTTAACTCATCATTAACACCAGAATATTGCAGATATAAACAGATCAAGAGAGTTATTACCTTTTAAGGGTCTTTTTAGGAGTAGTGTTTAAGCATTTTTATACGTCGCTCAAAGTTCAACTTCAGTCTCGTTTACACATTTTCCATCCCGATTCCGAGTATTTTCCGATAACATTTAACTTGTCAATCACTTTAAAAAGGTCTCCTTAACCATATCCCTTAATAAACCACATAAATTCACCCCAGACTTCTGAAAAAGCAACAAAGAACCTCTTAAAAAAAGTATCACTTATTTAGCAATTAATTTAAATTTGTTCTATTCATCAGATTTACGCGGCCTATGTTCCGCCGCGCCCACGCACCCTCACACGCCTCGTTGATTGAGAAGTGAGTGTTTGGAATAATACTCATAAAGGGAGAGACACCCACAGAACACAGATTACAAGTAATCGGAATGCAAATGCCGCCTGAACACACACACGCCCCCAAAAGGCCGAAGGACATTACGCGTGATTAGTCATGGTCATGGCTTTGAGGATAAGGATGGGAGTACTTTACGCCTCATTGAGGTCGTAGTGCTGGCTGGAAACTCGTAAATTTACCGAATCATTAGGCAGACGCAGTCAGGCCGTGCCACAAAAGGCGGCCGAAGTTCTATTGGACTAGAGTGAATCAAAGCCAGGGATCCATGGGGACAGGACACTGGCCACAGAACAGAGGAGACAGAGGATTCTCCTGTTCGGAAGATGTCACACAGCGCTAATGAAGTTGACGCACATTCAACGCATTAAATGGCATTATGGCTGGTTATAATGTTCCCACAAATCGCACACGCAGCAACCAATCAAACCAGAAACCTACTGCCAGAAGCCTATTAAATAATTCAATACTAATTCGAACTACTCACCGACGCTGGCGCAAGCAATCGAGCAGGGCATCCTCATCATCCGCATCGAAATGGTCGTCGCCGCCGCTCAGTGGACAGTCTAGGGCATGGGCGATTTGCATTGTCAATTGCAAAGACTGATTGCTTGAAGCCCAGTCGGACATCGCAGAGCCCGACATGAGGATGGCGCGATGGAAGAGACCTGCAAAATATTATGGTATTATGGGATATGACCTCTAATCACATTATTCTCGTACTCCTACCTGAGGCCACTGGCGACACCATTAGATAATTGACACATGCCGCACCCGTGCCATGACCCATAAGTGTCACCCGCGTATTGTCGCCATTGAATGAGCCAATGTTCTCCTTGATCCAATGCAAAGCCGCTATCTGATCGAGTAGCGCATAGTTGGCTATATTATGGGCATCAATGCTAGGTCGGAGGAAGCCTATCGAATTAGAAAGAACAAAACAATGACTAACATCGTATGTGGAGTTTCTTTTGTTTAAGTGTTTACTTACCTAATACACCCAAACGATAATTTACTGTGACGACAATCACCTCGCCATAGCTGGAGAGGACGGATCCATCATAGGCATTGCCACTGTTCCACTCAAAGGATTCGCCGTGTAGATAGACCAGCACTGCATACTGTTTGGGGGCAACCAAAGGTTCTGGAAAACAGAGAAATGCATATTAATAATGGAAAAGACACAAAAAATTAGATACACTTACCCTCATGAGGCACATACAGATTCAGATACAAGCAGTCCTCGCCCTCTGACCGCAGGTAAGGCAAGAGTCGACTCAAATACTTATGACGGGCCCGTGACATGTTGACGCTGCCATGAGACGTCAGATCCGGTAGTTTTTGTGGGCAAACTGGGGGCAAATGACGAGCTATCTTCAGGCCCTGCCATGGCAATGGCGCACCTGCAAAAACAGAAGAAAGTAGAGAGCGGAAAAAAACACTTAGATTGGACTTTATAGATGTCATATGTACGTCTCAACCATCCACTGTTTGCAGCGTAGATTTTGCCATTCGATTGCTGCTTTTCCCCCAAGTGTTTGGCCAAAAAGTCAATTTCGTATTTATGTAACACGGTCAACAGGCACTTGAAAATGCCATAAACAAGCACCACACCCCGCCACACCACAGCAGGACACACACACACATACACATATCCGTCTGCACACACTGATACACGCCACAAAATGCCCGGATTTCCTGCACACAAGTGCCAGGAGGTGGCAGAAGAAGGAGTAGCAGGAGGAGGAGGACGAAGACGAGGACGACCAAGAGGAAGGACACTCGGAGTTGACTGCGGTTACGTTTCTGGTGTTAACGTCAAAGCTGTGCTCGCAGATGCACAGAATCGTTGGGTAAATTGGTAACCACGATTTGGTCAAGTTAGTATGGATTCTGCATCCCAAATCCTGAAGTGTGGTTTAGTAACAGGAGAAAGACAGTGCACAAATCCATGGATAGATAGATAGCCGCACTTTCTCTGTGCAAAATCGCTTACACATTTTGACACCCACATTGTTTCGAGGCTACGGAGATTGTTTTGTGGCTTGTGGCCATAATATATCGATTGATTGATTGATATGCAAATGTTGGCATAGTTTTACTAATCTGCAAATCGAAAGCTTAGGCAAATGAAGTGACCGGAAATGCATTTAGCTGTCTCTACAAACATATGCATGTGTATGTTGATTGAAAACTTTCAAACATAATAGATACAAAGTCTACGAATTTCAATTCCAATAAGCACAAAAATCAATGCCATTTTGTCCCAAACAAAAAAGACAATATTTACACTCTGACACGAAGGGACACACACAACATTTCATTTCTTTGCGTAGCGTTATTGGATGCCATAAACAAAAAAAAAGGAAGAGAATATATAATCTTCTCTGTGTTTGCGAGATCCATATGAAATTTTCGAAGGGAGTACACTGCATTATTTCCATTTTGTTATTAATAAAAGGAAGGCGCAGCGCCTGGGACATAGGCAACCCACATGTAGAATCGAAAAATATCGTATATTTGTTTGGATTTTCTGTACGCGCACACACACAGAATCACAAACAAAATCTATCAAACGATATACCTACTCCTCCTGCTCCTGTTTGTGTATGAGTTTTGTCCCCCTGTGACGACAGTCCCATCTCTTTCACCCTCTCTCTCTCTGTACACATTACACATACGGAACGTGGGCGCGTATTTGCATTGGCTTCCTATATTTGCCGGGCGAATTTCCAGGCCGAACAAACGACAAGCGACAGAGCCATGTTTGCCATCCAGCGACACAACCAAACGACGAACCAACTTCCGCTGACAAATATGGCAGAGTCGTTGTCGTTGTCGCTGTCGTCGGTGGGCGCTTAGGTCTGTCCGTTTGGATTGAGTGCATGGCACTCAAGTGCTCAATAAACTCCAAACGCGACGACAAACTGAAAGGCTGCTGCCACAGTACCAACTCTGGGGCAACTCGAAACTGTTGCAGGAGCAAACTGCAACCCGATATACAAATCGTGGCACACACAACACTTGCCAACCAACAAACAGCCTCTAGCGCGTGTTAATTTATTGTCTTTACGTAATGCAATGTACGCGGCTTGAATGCTTAGTACTACACTGTGCATACACTGTAATGGGAGACAACGAGGAACTGCACTGTGTACACAATAGAAGACACAAGAGAGGGATCCACACTGCACTGTGAAGGAGTGAAAGAACTTTCAACCCCCCCCCCCCCCCCCCCCCCCCCCCCCCCCCTCCACCACTGCACTTTGAAAACAAAGAGAGACTTCCATGGGTTCGATTTTCCGTTTTCCTGCCAATCTATTGATCTTTAATTTACGCTTCCATTTTCTCCAGAGACCTATAAATCAACCTAAACTTTTCTCTCTTTTTTATCAATCAACGAACCATAAAATAGTAACCCAATTCTCTCAGTGCCCAAACATGCTGTCGTGAGGACTTTCCTAGTACACACAGCTAATGCCGCGATCTGTTTAGGGCCCGAAAGCTGGGACAAAAGGACACACACAAAATTGTCTACCACAAACTTAGTGCAGCGCCAAAGTCTCACACAAATTTTTGTGGGTTTTTGCTGGGATAAAAATCAAATGATAAACCCGTAAGCACACATAATAATAGCAATTTCTACTGTTAATTAAACATAGATAAATGTAAGAAAAACACAAGGAAAATATTCATAAGCATAGGCCCCCGCTCAGGCAATAATCTCCCGATAATGTTGCAAGCACATGCAGGGAGGGGCTTGATAATTTACATTGCATTCCACGTAAAAACGGGCTGCAATAATAATAGCCAGTCGAGGAAAATACAAGCAGGAAAACACAGGCCACGCAGACAGAACACAGATAACAGTGAGAAGTCCTGGGATATCCTGAGGCGGCGAGAGAGAGAGAGAGAGAGAGAGAGAGAGAGAGAGAGAGAGAAATAGCCAGGCGGCACATGTCAGTCTTTTGAGAGCCTAATGCTGGGGCTAGGGGCACGGCTTCAACGATAATTGCTTAAATTGCAGGCTAAATTCTAAGTGCCACAAGAGGCAGGAGATCCAGAAGGGGGGGCAGCAGCAACATCAGCCGCACCAGAAGAAGCAGGATGTTCATTCTTACACGGACAGCCAACAGGAGAGAAATGTGTGGCCAGCATGTGTTCTGGCAATTTCTAGGAGTGCCTACATTGCTTAGCCTCCCCTGCCACTCCTGCTCTTCCTGTCCACCCTGCACTTTTCATTTTGTGGTTTTGGGTGCTGCAAAGTGGCAATTTGCCATCATATTTGCGGTCTACAAACAGTGCTGGCCGCTCTACAGCGGGATTATGCCAAACGAAAAGCTAACTACTTGGAAAAATACAGATTACTGGCGAAAACCTTCCCACTAAGCCGATTTAAGCTTAAGAATCAATACGGATTCATTAAGGAATGAAAAAAAATATATATATTTCTCAATATTTACTTTGAAAATTCAAGTAGATTTCCCTTCCCATCACTCACCTGGCGGCATAAACCTTCGATTGCCTGTCGGGGCTTCTGCGTAGGGCAATCCCAGATACTGATCCACCTCCCGTAGGCCGCTCGTGACCTGAAAGCGACGTGTAATGCCCATGAGGCGACCCTGCTTGATTTGTATCTCTTTGGTATACTGCAGCTTATCGGGTACCACATGTCGCCGTCCAGGATGATGTGTGGTCACCGTCGTGGCTGCGGCTGTAGCTGGGCCTGTGGCTGCTGTGGCTGTTGAATCTGTGACCAATATTGAGGCTGTCCTGCTGTCACTCTCAACGTCAGGACCCTCGCTGGACTCTTCATCACTGGTGAAGAGCCTTGCCACACTCTGCTTTAAATGAAGCTCCAAATTTTGGATTCCAGCTATGGAAGCGGCGTCCTTGGCACGTCGCACTGCCTGATGGCCAATTGATTTGGATGCCGCCGACAATGTTGTGACATCCTCTGCAGATTGGTGTGCGGTTGTTACTCTCGTTGGGGCCCCCATTGAGGCCCCCGTTGTGATGTCCCCAATAAACTGCGTTTGCCTTTCCGTTTGCTTTTGCTTTGAGGTTGTACGCAATTGCATTGCATTTTCCAGTTCATTTCCTTTGTCGTTGTTGTCGCTGTCTTGTGGGTGGATTGATTCTGCTGCTGCTGCTGCAGCCGCCACACCCCATGTAGGTTCATAGCCATGCCCCTGGCAGCAATCAAGGCTTAATTGCTTGTGATTGCCCCTGGCACAGTCGCTTCCAGCTGTCAACAGAAATAGCCAAAATGATGCTAAACGGAACTTCATGACTTTGTTTTTCGGAGTCTTTTGGGGTACACGAGATTTTCCGCCTAATGCTGATGCTATTTTTGTTGCTTTTTTTCGTATTAATTTAAGTCTTACACTTTAGCTACTTTTACTTCTCCTACAACTTTTCCGGACATTCCGTTTGTGTTGTTACGTTTGGTTGTTTGTCTTTTGCGCGTTTTGCTCGTGATGTTAATTGTACTTTTTCTTCTTATTTTTGTTCGTTTGTTGTGTCCAACCGAATCGCTCACATTTTCCTTAGAGTTTTCTGAGTCATATACATAGTAGTAGTTTTACTTCTCAGTTTATTTACTTGAAATTTTTAGCATTCGGATTTCTTTGTCCACTCGCTTTCTCCTTGCAACTTTTTCTTTTGTACATTTCATTTCATTTGGCTACAAAAAGTTTCCTCTTTCTTTTTGCCACAGGCATTTCATTTGTCTTTTCTTTCTGTGCCTTTAACTTTTGGAAGAAAAATTAAAACAGCAAGAAAATTGAGGTGAGAAAATGGGAAAACAATTTCATTTGCCACTTAATTTTCAAACTTGTTTTTGATTGTTTTATTGTTTTTGTTATTTATTACAAATTTATTCACTTTATTAACTTAATTAACTTTTTTTCGCTTCATTTATTTGAATAATTCAAAAGGTGTTCTTCGGGTTATCTGTTCTTTTTTGTTTGTTTTTAATAGAAACGTTTAATGAATTCTTAGCCCATTCTTTCAGTTGTGAATCATTTCATAAAATACTCGAGTTCTAGCACTACACAATAACCACCCAAAACACGTACAATATCAAGTGTTCTGTTCTGTTTCAGTTTTCATTTCTGATTGAGTCATCTTTCAGCCTGAAAAATGCAATCATTTTCCTCATTGACAGCCATGCTTTGTGCCCTTAATTCTTTCGGGGCAATCACTATGCTGCGCTGTTCATTTTTCGAGAATTTCAAATATTATTTTAAGACTTTTTTTCATACGAAATGGCGGCAGTCATTTATTTATAGAGAACCACATTACTTATGCGAGTGGAGAAGTGGACTTTGGGACTTTGTCAAATCTTTGCAATTGAAAGGAAAACGAATGAAAACTGATTGGGAAAAAATGAAAGAAACTTCCGACACTTGCGAGTCATAAATATTCGATAAGAAGTTGCCATTAAATGTGAAATTTTTGTATACAAAAAACAAACCCAAAACGTTCAACAACTGTCCGTCATTCAAGAGTATCTGACATCTGCCAACTGAGTGCCAGTGTTGTTTTTCCACATTTGCGTTAAGTAAACAAAAGAGCATCTCAGAAAATGAATGTGGAAAAGCTATAACCAATAGATTTCCCATGACGATTAATCATAAAAATTTAGAAAATACAAATGAATATTCAATTAAGTTTCGCTATTTTCCTCGCACTCAAAATGTGAGCTAATTTCGCAATAAAAACTGAAACTGAATGCAACAATTCTAGAGAAACGTATAGAAACGAAAGAATTTAAATGTTTTTTTACGAGCCCCCCTATAGAGGAGAGGAGCTCTGGCTCCGCCATGTGTGACAGAGTCTCTGTGTGTCAGTTTTCCTCGTGAATACTACGGATAGGAATGTACAAATATGTACATATGTAGGTACATATACGCGTTCTCGTATCAAAATAAACACAACACAACGCCCTGTGGCACACTAAAAGCATTTTTCACAATAACAACAACGGATAGACTAAATAAAACTGAAAGTAAGTCTAAGAAATAACAAAATATGATGGTAGAAGAGAAGTAAAGACGAAGATTTAATGCTCTTTCGAGGATTGGCGATTTGTGAATAAACTAAATGGCACTTTAATTCTATATAAAATTGAACATTATAAATAATTAGAAAATTAATGGAAAATGCACACTCCATTGCCTCGGAGATGAAGAAATAATCTAACATTGCACAATTTTTTCACACCCTAAAGTTTCACAAAATTTTCAAAAGATCATCAACATTTTCCAAAAATCTTACTAAATCATATTCATTCATCCCAAAACCCATATACCCTTCCCTAACAAAAATGCATAACAAATATGTGCCAACATAGAAAATAAAATTCTCTTAAATGATTTTGTTATTTATTACACATTTTTTCAACGCGTTCGCCTTTTTTATAATATCTGTGTGCGTGGGGGTGAGTGTGTGGGTGTATCCGAAAACGTCTATTTGTGATGCTAGCACACACACCAATAAACACACACATAAATGTCAAGGTACATCGACTGTGAACATACATAAAATTGACCTTATGGCCTTAGGGGGAAAAAAACCGGTATAAAATGGGTGTTGAAGTGGAGTTTATCCGAGCACTTACACAGAAGCGTCAAAGCGCTTTCCTTGCATAAGAAAATCACATAAATTTACGAAAACCAAAAGCTAATTGAGTCAACATCAATAAAATGGTGATAGACAGTGTGTGTTTTCTCTCTATAGGATGCGGTGTTATGTGATTATTTATAGACCTCAAAGTAGATTTAATGCTATTTTTGGGATCGATGTGTGTCGTAGGAACACACGAGTATTCATCCACTAAGTGAAAGTAAATTAAGACAGAAGCAGCCATCCATTAAATGCAAATTCTTGAATAACTGAAAAGTGCACTAAAAATGCGACTAATAAAAAATAAATAGACAGGCGAACACAGCGGAAGGGTGTGGAGTGGGGCGCCAATGCAAACTTTAAAAAAATGAACAGCATTAAAAATACGCACAGCGAAAATGTTTAAATATAAAATCGAGTGAACAGAAATATTCACGGAATTCCACTTTGCGTATATTGCGCTGCTCCATCCACAAAATGTCGTCACCGAAAGGCGGCAGTGGATAAATAAATATAAAAGAAAATTCTATGAAAATAAAAGACAACAAAATCACAAGACATACTCTGCAATTTGGCAGCTGTTAAAAGAGACAGAGAAAACGCAGCGGATAGGAAAAGAAGAGAGCGCCAAATAGGTTGGGGGGACCGTAATGAAAAAATGTAGGAAAATAAGTGGGAAAATTAGAATGAAAAGAGTGGACAAGCGTAAAAGGAAACAGGGCGGAAAAAACTACAATTGGAATTTAAGTAAAGTGATTTGATTTTGGATTATTTTGTCTCTGCGCGAGAGTCACTTCTGCTGCTATCCGGCATTCAGCGGGTCCGCCACTTGGCTTTGGTCAAAACAATTCGGAAAATGCGACTCTTTTCAGCTCCGATGAAGACACAACACTATTACACACAATTTGTGGGTCAACCTAGGTACGCGATTCTCTTTAATACACTCCAAATAAATTGTAAACAAGCGGACATTTTTTTTTGTAATTGAAACTAAAGGTCTCCCCAATCAATAGTTGATATTTCTCTGTCAATCAACCATAATTCGTATGCTTTCAGTATTTCTCCCCCTGAAAACATCGTTTGCCAATGCCTTTGTAATGTAAATGAATGACAGAAAAGGGCCACAAAGAGGCCTCCCCCTTTTTTTGGGAACAAAACAAAACAAAAACTCTCCTCTCGACAGTACATTGAAAATTTGCATAATTAGCGCACGGATAGAACATTCAAACGCTGTCACATTTGACACGCGGCTCTGCCACATGAAATAAAACGAAAAAGAGACCCCAACCAACCCATCGACAAATAACAAATTAGTTGCAACTAATTTTAGCTGCAAATGCAAAACAGAAAATTAAAAAAACAGGCGACAAAAAGTTCAACAAACCCCAAAAGAGAAAACAGAAACCGAAATGCAAAAGATTGGGGGAATGACGAGAGAATTATGAGATTTATTTTTGGAGTCCCACTCGCTCGATGAAAAACATAAACACACTTACAACTAGCGGAAAAATGTAAAGTTTTGCGTATAGAATAGGGTAACACCCTTAAACATTATTACTATACCTCAAACCGATTGAGATCATTTGATACGATTTTTGTTTGAAAATCTGCTTAATCTGAAGCAATGAAAACATTGTTTTTACAATATTGACGAAAGGAATGGTTGATGGCTTTGGTTTATTTTTTTGTTATAAACATCCCCTCAAAACCACAACGCCCTTACCTCTTAAAAGGGTATAGTATGCACTTTGTTTTTTTTGGGCACAGTGGGCTTACGGGGCCAATGGGAATGGCATACTCGTATTATCATGCAAATTAACTGAAGCGTTTATTTATAAATCATCGAAACAGAACAGAGAAAAATGCTAAATTGTTTGCACAATTGTTGTTGTGTGTTCATCTTAAGTGAAAAAAAAAAGAAAATAAATAGAAATAATGAGAGAATATACTCGATAAAAGCACCAATTAATGGCTAATAAAAACAGCTAAGAATACATTAAAATACTGGGATAGTCTTCGGTACAAAATATGTTCCATAAATCTGAGATATATTCTCACGGATTATTTTCTCTATCCCCTTTTGTCTACATTCTTTAAGTACACTTTTTATCCAAAATATGAAATATATCTAAATTATTTGCCTGACTTATCCCCGCTGTATCGTTTAGATGCTGAAATATTTACGAACGTCACACAGCAGCACTTTATTTTCCTGAACGGATTTTTCTTCTTTTGCTTCGGGAAATGTTCAACATTCTATTCAAATTCATTTGCGCAAAAATCAACTATGAAATTTTAACGATTCTCTTGATTTATGAAAATATTGCACACTTCCACAGATAATTATTTTACACATTCTTTTCAGCGTAGACCGGAAAGAGTTTTCTTTTTTAATTAATGAAAACTGCATTGAAATTTCGAGAATTTTCTTGTAAACACATTCTGCACGGTTCATCATTATTCGCCTTGTAGATTTTTCATCAATATTTTCGATGGCTTTTACCAAATAAATTTCCACTTGATTTGCTTTATGGCCCCCATACGGATATTTCAATCTTTGATCTGCTACGAAATAACAAATTGGCAGATAGCTTTTGACGGATACTTTCGCATTGAAACACATTCGCAGATATTTTTCTTTGTCACTTGGCTTTATTGTTGATTGAAAAGCGTTTCCCTAGACTTTTCATTATGTTTGATTAACTGTTTGAACCGAAAACATTTTCACTTTCCGATTTTGACTTTAGGGGGAATCTTCTTGGCACGCTCTGTTGTTTTTGTCCCCCTTTTTACTGGGGTTTTATTTTTGGATCACGCACAAGATTTATTTGAGTTCAGAATAAGAGCACTTCTGTGATGTCCCCCCAAAAGAAAACGTAACCACAGCAAAACGAGGGGCACGATCCAAGCGCGAGAACCACACATGCGACACGATCGACGTTCAAACTGCAACTGTTTCCTCCTCCATCTGGCAGCCCACTTCTCTTTCTAGTTTCTCCTAGATGGCGTTTCTCTCTTTCTTTAAGAAATTGCTTTTCGTTTCTCTCTTGAGAGATTAACCATTTCTTTGAGATCATATTTGGCATAAACTGGCATAAATCTTGGCGGCTGGCAGCTCTTCTGTTTATCTGTAGGGAAATTCTTGAGGAAATCATTTAATTTTCATTGGAATTTTATTGGCTTTCCATTATGGTCCTTCCCATTTTGATGATATCTTTTTCCGTATCATCTCTCAGGCACTTCCTCAACTTCCTTCCATAAAAGTTCCGCTTTAAACTTCATCTTTGATCCTACGGCAAAGAGTCCTTGCTCCGTTTCTCTCTCTTGTCTCTTATCACCGACTTCCTGCAACAAATCTTGCACTTGGGTCTAAGTGCCTGCCTGTCGCTGCAATTGTGGAGGCTGGAGGCAACGGCTAAAGTCTTAAATCAGCTTGGCTTTTGGCTAAGAGAAACCTAAACAAAGGAAAAAGAGGCGGCAAACGAAAACTCCACTCACTTTGCATGGAAGAAGCAAGAAAAGCAGAGTCCCTCTTTCACCCAGGAGAAAGAAGAAAAGGGTGTACCTCCTACTCCGGAGAAAGGTAAGGTTTTGCATCTCTATTCTTCGTCTTCCAATGGAAGCCCCTTAAGTGAGTTGTTTGACTTCATTGTGTCTACTGCCATTTCATCGCCAATTTGGTAGAGTCTTTTGGGTGGGTAGAAGCGTTTACAGCCAGACTTCAAGCTCACACACACTCAAGGTTTTTGAAGTCAAATGTTCACCCTTTTCACAGGCGAGCACACACTCCTACTCCGACAAATCTCAGAGCCTGTCAGAGAGAGGTATGTCAGTTCCACCTTTGGTTTTTTTCCGAAACATAGCAAAAACCTTCATCTCAAAGGTGGCTCCCGGGTCTCCCTCACAATGGGAAATTGATTTACCATCGATCTGCCATTTTGCAGGGACTGCCTTCGAGTGGCAGCTCCTAATTTACGAGCATCAAAGTGCGCCTATAAATTTCCCTTTTAATTGCAAGTTAATTAAAAAATTGAATACCCAAGTGAAAAACGAAAAAAAACCAACATGCATAGGAACCAAAAATAAACTCCAAGACGACAACGAGGCGGCAAAACACATTTATATGTACATATGTACGTGAATTTAAGCATATAAAAACTTAAGCATCATAAAAAATATATAATGAAATAAAGGTAATAAAAAAAAAGAAAAAAAATGAAAGTTCGTAATAGCAACTGCAGCTGTAACAGACAGCGGAAAACGAAATGTTCGTTATTTACTTAAAATTTTAATGAAAATTCTGCCTATTTTTGGTTTAAACTCGAACAAAAATTCAGTTTGTCTGTTTGTCTGCCTGTCAATTTATAAAAAAATACATTATTCATCTCAAATGGTTCCCTCTTTTTTTTGTCGTTTCTGTGTGCGTTTCTCTGTATGTTTTTTATGTATGTTTTCCCCAATAATTACATTTAAATAAATTGGGTTTCTATTTCTTATTCGAGTATTTCCTAGCTGACGCTTGAGGTGCATAATATATTATATAAACAATCTTTGGGTGGCCAATTTTTCGTACATGCAAATTGAATACAAATTTTTGATAAGTGCCAACAAGTAATCGAACATTACACTTGAGATGCCTGTCAATGGCAAATTTTTTAGGTCACTCTAAAGGAAAATACACAAAGAACACACAGGAAATGCAACAGAAAATGTTCTTCAATTCTGATTGAAGTTTTATTTTTGGTTTTAAGTCAGAAATTTAAGACATAATCCCCATGTTTTCATCCAAAAAATTGTATTTTCTTGCCATTTACTCTTCATCTCCCCTTTTTCCCCGTTAGTCATATTCCCTCTGCTGCACAACCTTTTCTCATATCCTAACCCTCTTTAAATCTCATTTTACTCATGTTCTTCATGCGTAAGCTCATTTTAGAGCTCATAAAAGGAGCACTCTCATTTGGCCTCTACGTTTTTATAACCCTTTTCGATTTTTTGCTTCACTAATTTGCTGCCAATTCAGAGCAGGACTCTCCCTACTTCCCCCCTGGGAGTCCAGCAATCTAATTAACTTCGATTCCGCTTACTGCAGCAACAGCAGCAGCAGCAAAGCCAGCAGAGAGACAGAGGACATTTTGCATAATTGCATTTCGTGGCGCATAATTCTTGCCACATGCCACGCCCACTCAAATGAGATAAAAAGCGAAAAAACAGAGATAACATAAAAATCAAGTTAAAAATGAAAGTTGTTCGCCTCTAAGCGAAAAGGCTAACGAAAAAGAATAGAAACGAAAGCAAAATAAAGAAAGAGAGTAGAGAATACGAATGTAATTGTGTTTTGCTTTGAAAGGAGAGGATGGGGTGGCATGTCGCCTCTGGTGGGATGCTTGCACCATGTGGCAGCAGTTAAACGAAGGCCTTCAAAAGGAAAAGCAGAGTAAAAAGCGGCTGACGGCGCCCAAATGAAAGCCAACTCTAATTAAGTCAGCAATGACCAAAAGACTAAAAGAAAAGCGTAGCGGAAAACAGAGACCAGAAATTAAGCAAAACTTCCCGCAGATAGTAGGAAAAGCAGGCACTGTTTTGGATGATTTAATTCGAGTACAAAACTATATTTTGAGCGCTAATTATAAACCTTAATTTGTGAGTCCCTGGTCTAGCATTAAATGAAATTATGAATGCCTTAAGACCCTCTTAAGATATCTAATAAAATGCAAGTATTTACCAGAAGATCAGGACGGACGCAGGCCAGTGGAAAGCCAGAGAACAGTGCCAAAGAAAATCCAAAGAAAAAGCCAGTCAGAAAACCAACAGAAAACCCATAGAGAAAAAGCCAGTCCTAGAGTCTTTCCCGAGTCAAGTGTTTAACTTGAGGCAGCGGCACGCAGAGTGAAGTGCAAATAAATTAGCCAAAAAATTGCTCAAGAAATGCCCCAAGAAATGCACTCAACTTTTGGCTCTTGCCACGAAAAAAAAGTTGGTACACAAAAAAAATTGAATAATACAAGAAAATAAAGCAAAAAATAAAAGGTGCACAAGACGAAACTTAGGATACCCTTCTATTAAGATGATTGCTTACTGAATCTATACTATTCAATATTTCAATCTGTACATATATTTGAAAGACTACTTAATTTTTGAATACTTTTTTTTACCAAATTTGGGAGTGGAAATAATCTTGAATTCTTCTTTTAATATATTAATTTTATAATCATATGAAGACTCCTATGGAATATTTCAGGCACCTACTTGTACGCCCAATAACCTGTCCTAACGATACCCTTTTCCAAACACAAGAGCTCAGAACCCTTGGATCCGATTATATGCAAATTTGAATTATTGCAAAACTACTTGTAATCGAAGTTTTCGGTGATTGTCATTGGGCTCAAAACTTTTTTACGCTAATCAGAGGAGACAGAATGAAAAGAGAGAGAGAGAGAGACAAAGAGAATTACCAGCATATACCCCTAAAACTACTTCAAGAATTCAATTGAGTGGAAAACACAGAACCCGTAGAAGCAGCAGCTGAAGCAGCAGCAAGCAATGCTCACTCGTTGGCCTTTTGGGCAGTAAATTTGGCGTAAAGTAGGCTATTGATTTTTGAAGCCGGGACAGAAGAGACCGAACGTTTAACTAAACTTTACTAAACCGTTAACAGATTTAGTCAGAGATTTGTGTGCGTGTTGTTGTGGCGTCCAAAAGGAATGTGAAATGTGGTGGGTGGCCTGTGGATTCGTTATGCAAATGAAGATGAAGCTTTAATTCGTTGCGGAAATCCGCCTGTGCGCCCTTCGTTTCGAAATCTATCTTTCAGGGGGGAAAAATAAATGATACTCATTTACACTTCAGAGATGCTCTTTAGATGCCCCAAAAGAGATGTCTAACCAAATAAAATCTGGCACCCAAAAGGACCAAACTAAACGTTGGACTAAATCAAAACGAAAGTGAGAAAGAGAGAGACAGAGAGAGTCAAAAGAGACCCTTGGAGTGGCATGGCCGGCTGCCGTCTCTTCAAGTGGAAGTTTGTACCGGACCCTAGAAACTTTGCTTTCGAGAGGACTAAAGGCTAAAAGCGTACTGCTAGATAGTTTTTGGGGCACAAACACACACGCACACCGAAAAAAGAAGGATATACCACACACTGGACAACACTGGGCTGTGGACTGCCTGTCTGTCGTCCACTTGTATTAAAGGAAAAACGCTGCAGGCATTTTAAGTGTTGTTAATGCCCGATGCGGCGGTGGCGGCAGCAAACTTTTTCCACTGCAAAAATGAAACAAGTTTTCTTTTCTCTTTTTTTTGACAGGAGCAGCAGTAACCTCGCCACGTACGCCAGTTACACTTTTATGCATTTATAAAAAAAGTAAAAAATCTGAAAAAAAACGTCGTTAAAGAGTCGCCACGGGGGTGGTGGAAAGTTGCATCAGTTTTCGCTTACGCGTGGCGGCTTACGTGTTTGTCATCTGTCGGGGAGGACTCTCCGTCTCTTAGTCTTCGGGCGTTTTCCATTCCAGTCATCCCTCAGTTGTTGGTTATTTTCCACTCCATCTCTCATTGAAAGGTTGGGTCAAAGCTCTCCATTAAATGTGGTCAAAACTGCTCTTGTGGTCCGTCACTGTTTTTATGTAAATGGCAGCGATTTTTTAGCTGAAATCTGCCATTAAAATGGAATTAAAATAAATTCATGAATACCCTTTACTATTTATTGAAATGTATTAGAATTTTGTATTATACGTGTATTTCACACGATTGTTCTATAAATATAAATATCTGTTCAATGATTTGTACTCAAAAAAAAAGAAGATATTTCAATGAGCAGTTTTGTTGGTGATTTTAGATTTTAGACTCCGCAAATTTATTCCTTACATTATAGGTGGGAATAAGCCACAATGCCCTCAAGATGTAAGAGCACTTTTGGCTGTTGAATAATTAATTTATTAAGCTGTCTCCATCCGCATTTGCAT